ACCCCAAACCTCGAGGCACGGTCACTCTCCCGCGCCAGCCCGTGACATCCAGCCGGGGCCGGGCTGAAGGAGACGGGGGCCTCCGGCTTTTAAACCCGGCTTCTTTGCCGTACCCGCCCGCCCCGTCGGCTCCAGGGGGTGATCGAGCAATTTCCAGGCGCAGGCCTCGGGCAGCTCCTCAGCGAGCTCCCCTCGGTCCTTTAGCCGCCTTCACACAACTGTTAACTCCGCGCCAGCTCTCCCGCCCCGCTGCTGTAGAGTCACCCCTAAAGCCCTCTCCCCCGCCAGCTCCATGCCCCCCTCCGGGCCTTCGCGCTCTCGGCGTCTCCCCGCGCCCCTTAATGCGCCCCTTTCCTCATTCCCTCGGGCGCCCACTCCCCGCCTGCCCCGGCGGCTAGGCGGCAGGACCGGCGGCCTCCATCCCATTCCTCCCCTCCCCTCCCCTCCCCGGTACCTAGCCGGGGCGACTCGGCTCGGCTCGGCTCAGCCCCCCGCAAGGCTCCCGTGCCGCCGCGGGTTCAGCTCCATCCGCCCGCCCACCCGCCAGCTATCCTGTGGCGCGGGGGCCTGCGCCCCAGCCTCCGCCGCTTGCCGCCCGCCGGCGGTGGAGGGCGGAGGGCGCCGCTGCCGCTCAGGGCTGTGCAATCGGGCCCGGAGCCATCGAGCGCCCGCAGTGGCCGGCGGGGGGCTCGGCGCTCCGGAGGGCGGGAGTGGGCCGGGCAGCGGGGAGCCTCGGGGTGGGCGTTAAAGGCTGGCTGCAGGGCAGTCGGGTAAGGTGCCTGAGGGACCAGAGACACGGGCCCGGGGTTCGCGCCGTGGCCGAGAACAAGCTCGCACCGCTCACTGCGGCAGCGCTAAGAGGCACGGACAGGAGATCTCGCTCTGCCACTGAAAGCAACCACAAAACCCCCTCTTGGTGATGTTTTTTAAGGTAGCTGAGCTGGCGCTGTAGAGATTTGTACCTGGCTCTGATCAGAGTCTGCCATGACCCCTAATTTTCACTCCACCTCCCAGGCGCCCACTGTACTTTCTGGAGAGGCGTCACCAGCACGACAGCAGCAGTAACGGAAACACCTCGGTTATATTTTTAACCGTGCATAAAACCCAGCACTGGCAAAAGTTACACTTGGATGTCATCGGTGTGTGCACTGAAACCAAACTAAGATGGGATCCGAAGTCAGGGAATCGTTCTGCATCTTGTCCGCAAGGTCAGACATGGGCTGCTTCTGGATTTTCACCTGGTTTCTTCCACCACACAGGTGCTCCAGCTGAAAGATGTTGATTCGTCATTGGAATGACTTCCTCCCTTCGAAATTTTCATAAGCAAATTCACTGCTCATGAGGAAATTTGTGTTGGGGGGTGTGGTTTTTTTTTCTGAATTCCATCATCAGAATTCAAGTTCTGTCTTAATAATGGGAAAAATATGTCTCTCAACCATCTTTTAGTTTAAAAATAAACAATATTCCTATTGTAGTTTTGTACCTATAGCCCAGCCCAGCCCCATCTGGATTGGTTTTGCATCCTACCAACTACCTAGCAAAGCAAACTGGAAGACAGGCATCAAGTGTGGTTTCTGGTGGCAGCAAGTTAGTTTGGTGGGATTGAGATGTTCTAATTCTGCAGCCTTAGCTGCTGCTACAAAATTGATGAAGAAATAATTCCTTATCGTATTAAAGACTGGCTTTGACTTAGACAACAAATATATTAAATATGATCTTTTGTCTGCTTATTCCTACAATGTGACACTGGTTAGAACTCAGAGTGGAAAAACTTAAGATTCCTCTCCACAAACTGGGTTCTCTGGGGCTGTCTTCTTTGAAGCCATGCAAACATTCATGGTGAGGGAATAATGCCTGGGACACATAAGCATAGGAGCTGAAATACTGTCTAACCCTTGCATGAGCTTGTAAATTCATCTCCAAATAGGTTCAATATGTAAAGTTTACATAAAGTGTGATCCTCCATGAACATCTGTATTCAGTTGTGTAGATGATACTACTGAGGAATATCTCAAAAAGTGCATGCGGAACAGCCAGATGACATCCTGCTGTAGCAGCCAGGAGCCCCAGACTGCACTGCCATGTACGGACACTAGCTTCATTTCGTACTGTACCGCCTGTGATAAAGAAACATGAGCATTGATGCAACGGCCTTTTACAAAAACAAGAATCCACCAATGGATGTGATAATGAAGAATACATAAACGCCTCATACCTGCAGCAGGAAAGTATTTCCATAGTACATTTCACAGAAATCAACTCTACAAACTCCTCCTGGTGTAAGGGTGTTAACCTCTGGTATCAAAAATAACATACACCCCCAGGAAAGAGTTATTTACTCAGTTAACCTCATTTTGATCAGAAAATGAGTTGCTGCTTCTTGGCCTATAGCAATCTGCCATTCAACTCGTGAGAAAGGTCAACTGAGCAATTTATATTCAAAGACTGCTGGTCCTATGACGTTTTCCATAATGAACTCCACAAAAACAAAGGCTGCTCTATCTGACAGGCCTGAGGTAACAGAAAGACCTGGTAATATTTGTGCAGGATTGATCATGTTTAGCTCAAGAAGCAATAAACAAAACCAAAGCTAGATTATTTTTTTTTTAATTATTGCTGTTATTAGTGTTATGCCTATTATTCACTCTGTTGTGGTAGCATGCACAGACCCACTCAGCATTATGAGATACCACTCAAGATTAGTATCTCATAATGCTGAATGTTACATAAGCAGAGGGCAAAACAAAACATCACTCATTAGAATAAAGATTTCTTGGTTTTTCCCCAAGAATGATGTCACCCAGCCCCAGTATACGTATCAGCTGTAAGTAATGCTGTCTTAATGCTAAAGTGATACAAATCAGTTGGTATAGCAAGGGACACTCATACAGGATGCTCCTACCATCTCTGTGTATATTGGCTTTAGGGTTGCTTTGTGCCAGCAGTGCTTACATGAGGGTAAGAATCTGTGTTTATTTGATTTATAGCTAACCTTGATTGATTATTTAGTACGACTTTTTCCCTACATTGGTCAGCAGTGTTAACTGTGCACTACTTCAAATTGAGATCTACTTCAGCAGCCATGCATGCCATTTTTATCTTTCCCCTTTTCAATCTGAGATAAAAAACATTGTTAAGCAAGTTTATAGTATTCTGCTCTAAACCAGACAAAAATAGGTCAATTAAATGTATTCAGCATGTATTAATTCAATTTCCTCTTTTTCATTAGTCCTGACTGAGCTTCAATAGCAAATTACTTAATAAAATAAGCAACTGGCAAATAATTGCAATGCACAAACCTGCTGATTAGTCTTCTCATTAGTTACGTCTATTTTGGTAAAGTGGGTTGACTGATTTAGAGCATGAATCAGTTCTGTCATACAGATTCCAGTCATAGTAGAATATCCATACAGTCACATATGCCTCTGAGCTAAATATTTTCTTTCATACAGCTTTATAATCCTCAGTGACTCTAGAAGAAGAGAAAAGAATGTATTCTTTTGAATTCAGTGGGGCGGCCTACGCATGAGTAAGAATCACAGGACTAGGGGCCTGATTTAAAGCAAATGAAACCTCACCAAGTAATTACACAACAAACAAAACCTAATTCTGTTATATCTTAAAATCAGTAAGAAGGAATGTCTTTAGATTAATTATAAAATTAAACATTGAATTTTATTTTCTTTATGCAACTACAATATATAGTCAATATACCTATTTAAGTACAGAGTCAGACCATTAAGGTCTGATTCTGCAAACACACTATCAGCAACAGGCAACTTACATTTGGTTTTAATCTAAGTAAGGTTATTAATCTGACTATAAGCATTATAACATGCTCATTTCTAGCACTGCTGCAGCCTTAGCGTCCATGGCTGTCCATTAGTGCTCCCTCAGTTGAGAGGGTAAGCATGTGTTTCTAATCCCAGAAATGAAACATTCAAATCCCTGGTGTAGTTACCTTCTGGAGTGATGTTGTCCGTCCTAGGTTTTGCAAAGCCTTAGTTACAAATCTTTGTTACACACTGAATATAAAAAATAATACATGGTTTTATTTCATGCTTAAATACTGCTAGACTTCTTTTTATTCCTGACACAGTTGCTTTTTGTACAATCACAAAATACAAGGCCTGAATTCCTGCCAAGCAATTACACAGTCCTGCTGTTATTTTTAATTCTAAAATGTAAATAAAGCTATTATGCAGGCCTAGATGATGTTAAGATACAGCTACCAAAATGGAAGCTGGAAATAAGAAAGGGAAATGAGTCCTATCAAAACCACAAAACAATAATCCCAAACAGCTCAATGTATGAATATATGATGAATCTTCAGCAGTAAAATTTAATAATATGGGGGTTTCTTTTAATTTTAAAATTAAATACCTGAAGAATCTTGGATAAAGTATTCTGACAAGAATTAGCTGCACATTAATGAGACCTAGAGATTACTACCTGCATATTAAGGCCTTCCAAGAACCTTTTGCTTTTACTGTTTATCCAAAACACTTCATTGCAATCTCTCTTCCAAGGGAGCACATCTAAATAACCACAAGCTCCTTGCATGTTTTTAATACATACTGACATAATAGGGCTTCTAGTGCAGCACTTAACACAGGCAGATACAACTGAAGTCAATAGAAAGCAATATTAAATTCAGACGAACAAGATACATAAATATATATAAACTAGAACAGTGTGATACCATTTATTTGCTTTTCCATGCTCTCTGGGTCATTCCTATCTATAAATAGCATGGGGTGTTATTTGTAGTGATACCACACTGTTCACTGAGGTACCCACGGTGCTCTGTGGACATTATCTCAAGTCACTTTGTGAAGCAGAGGCTAAAGTTGGGAGGTAGTGAAAGGCAAACTCCTGTAGCTCAACAAAGATGAAGAGAGGTGAGAATGTATTGCCTTCCGAAGCTAAAAGAAGAGCAGAGGTGGTTTTTTTGCCATTAGGAAAAGAAGAAAAATGAAGTGGTTTTAAACTTATTTTCCCCCTGTTTTCATGCTTTCTTTGTCTCACAGATGGAAAAAGTGGAGCAGAAAATTGCTTCGCCCAAAGCCACACACTGGCAGTAACTGAACTAGCGGACAGCAACAGCATTGGTTTAAATGGGAAATGTGCAATGCATGCATACTATTCAGGCTATTCTAACTGCTGTTTTTTTCTCTTGTCCACATATATAATTTACTTTTCAGCTGTAGTTGCACAGCACTTCTGGTAGCTGAATCTTGTAGGAACTCCCAAATTTTTAGTTTATTTCAAGGAACTTCAAGAAAAGAAGAAGGAATATGAGATACCAAGCTCACTAAATTCTTAAGGGAGTCTCAAATTTTGGGTGCTGTTCTCCTAAGAAAGAGATTGAGGAGGCAGCTCTGACTTGTGTTCTCATCCAGCAGTTGTGACCCTGATTTATAAAGTAGCTGTGGATCTCGCAGAGTTCAGCCTCGCTGTGTTGTGCAATACACCAAACACAGTGATAGTCATTGTTTTGCTCAATGTACAGTCTTAAGTAATGACACACTGGAAAAAAAAAAAAAGGAATACCCATTTATTAGATGAGAATTGAGGTGCAAAGAAGTTAAGAAATTAAGCCAGTCACAGACAGGTTTGGTGATAGACCTCAGATAATGCCTGCTGGAGACCTCCATAGCATACCGCCACTTCAGAAGAGAAACGGTGTGTTTGAAGGAGACAATGTAGCCAAGTACAGACTGAGAGACTAAAAGCAGAAAATGATGGAAGCTTAAAGAATTCATACCTCCTTCTCCAAAGAAGCTGTTTTTACACCAGAGGTTCACTGGATCCTGGATCGTACTTTTAATCCTGTGAGAGACTGATCTGAAATCAGACTCCACTGTCCATTGTCTCAAAGATTGGTCTGAGAAGCTGAGATGGGACACCACCATCCACTGCCTGAGGGATGAGTGGGAAAGAGCTGAGGTAACACCCTTACATTGTCTCAAGAATTGGTGTGAGGAATTGAAACTGGACTCCACTGTCCATTGTCTCAGAGATGGGTGGGAGGAGTTAAGACTCTTCATCCATTGCCAGGGAGAAGGGTGGGAGGAGTTAAGACTCTTCCATCCATTGCCTGTGAGAAGGGAGTGAGGAGCTGAATTGGGAATCCACCATCCATTGCCTGAGGGTTGAATGAGAAAGAGACTCTTTCACCCATTACCTTTGATTGCTGTGAGGAACTGCTGTCTATTATCCCAAGAATTGCTGCAGACAGCTGTGTGTGTGCAGACACCTGCAGCTGGCTGCAAGATCAGAAAAACTGGCCCACCAGAACGGGAATATAAAAAAGGGGAGTAAAACATTGCCAAAATGGGTACCTTCAAAGGGGACTCCAGAAGGATGCCTCCACAAGGAAACCCACTGCCGATGGACTCTTGGGGGATACTCTGCTCCGATACTACGATACTATGAACCCTGAAGAACTCCCACCGCCAACGACGATGACGACGGATCCCTGGGACACCGCCGGATCCACGGTGGTGACTATCTCTCTCTCTCTCTGCACCCCAAATTCCTGCTTCATTTTCTATCTTTTTTTCAATCTGTCCTATCACTATACCCTTTATTACAATAACATCCCTTTTTTACAACTGTCTTTTTGTAATTTGTAATAAACAAACTGTCTGATTATGGTACTTCACCTCATTTGTGTCTTAATTTCACTCTTGGGATCACAAACTGAACCAGGGTCTGGCACTGGGATTTTTCTCCAGTCGGACCCTGACAAATCCAAACAGATGGCTCAGACTGATGGAACTGAGTGTTCTCAGGGAGTAGTGGTTGCTTTGAGTCACAATGAAGAAAGAAACTTTTGTGCAGCTTTTGTGGTAAATGAGATCAGACATCACAGATGCGTTAAAGGACCTGGTGAAAACCACCACAAAGGCTGGCTAATATATCCAGCAGCCCATCAAGCAGGTGCCATCTCAACATGGGGAAGCAACTGTCTTTAGGAGCTGCTATGTACAAAATCTTGTTATGGGTAAAAAGAAACCCATCTTATGTTGATGCAGAGGGTTGACCAATGTACAGGGGGGTTGTACAGGGCAGTTGTACAAGGGGGTTAGAGGAATTTGCTTGCTTAAACAAAAGTATTGTCTGTTGTAAATGCCTGCTAAGCAGAAGAGAGACATCTGGTCCTACTGATAAGGAAAGCAGATACCTGGTCCTATTGATAAGGAAAAGCAGACGCCTGAATCTACTTATAAAGGGGAGAGAAGCAGATGATTTATGGCTGGGACACTGACCAAACTCTAAGGCCACACGTGAAGACTAAAAAGGTGAAAAGTGCAAGAAGAAGAAGACTCATTTACTTCATCTTGAAGACCCCTACCCAGAGGAGGAAGACTCATTTACTTCATCTTGAGACCCCTGCCCATGACCAGAGGGGGCACTGCGCAGGCGCAGTGGACCTTCTGGCTCATTATAATATGAAACAGGGATAGGACATGAATATGTATAGGCATGTTGTGCAACCTTATGAATATATATAACTTTAGAGAATAAATGTAGAGGGAAACAACACTGAGGCACACATGACTTTGAGGAATTATCCCCGTGCGTCTCAGCACTGAATAAAAAGCATACCTACTTTACAACTTTAACGAGTTGTGGATTCAATCCGCACATCAATGTGTAAAGTCACAAAAAAATAAAAATAAAAAAAAAAAACTGATTATTGCAGAAAAATAAAGAAAAATAAAGCAATTGTATAGAAAGTCTCAGCAATACTACAGTTAAAGTTGTTACGCATGCACTATCTAGTACCTACCCCTTGTATCTTGCCTACCCTTTCACCTCCCTATGGCTTCCATCTGATGGGAGTGAACATAGTGGATCATCAGCATCCAGAGTCCTGTGCCTGCAAGAGTATGATGTTAATTTTCATGATTTCCTCTTCTTTTTTTCCTCTCTTGGAAACAGCTTTCACTTGGGGCTATTTTTAAATGTTTCCTAATGAAGTTAAGCACCTTCCTTTTTCACTAGTCTGCAACTATGTATTTTATTTATCTTAAATACTTTCTTCTCTTTTCACGCCTAAGGCTAGCTTTGTCCAGCTCCAGGTCTGTATTTCTTTAACTGACCATTGGAAAGTTGTTTATAGCCTTGAGACAAGGAGGCACAAAAGTACAAAATGTAATCAGTTCTAAGTAATGTTAAGTTCGATGGCTTTGTAATGGAAAATAACTGCGGTGCTTGGAGGTAGTTGACATAGTTTCAGGCCCTCAGGGCCTCAGTACAAAAGGTGTGAGAAAAGCAGAATAGAAGGACAGGACCTGGGGATGGGGAGTATCCCCGGACTAACAGATGTCCAGGATGAGAGCAGTTAAACTAACTGATAAGTAGAAGGCCAGAATGATTGCTATGTCTGTAATGTTAATTAAGCTTGTTGGGAAAAGTAAACGACCCTTAAAGACCACCACATTTTTGTATGCACGCCGGAAACCTTTTGGAAAATGATGTAATATGCTCAGTAACCATACAAGGATGACCTGTATAGCAATTCGGGGACACACGTTAGGAGGAGCTAACACGCCCGTGTCTCCCGGCGCCGCAATAAAGAATACCTGGTTGTCAACCTGAAACTCTGCTGGCAAGTTTGTTCCTGGAGTTTTCTCCGAATCAGCCTCAGGGTCTCCACCACCAGCCTGTGCCCCATCTCTTACTGTCCCATGCCTATACTCCACACTGCACCTGGTGTCTTCACTGCTCAAGGTTGCTGCTGTTGTAATAAGCCTTCATTTCTGTACACTGTAATGTTGTTAGTCATAAATATATCATCCTACACAGAATAACTACTTATTAATATCTGTATAAAACCTGTGGTTACACAATACAAAGCAAAAGTAAACTAATTTAGCTATAGACTCCTGTCATTAGAAAAAAATGATGTAGCAGCTAGATCAAGTAAAACCAAAGCCACAAGAAGATCAGAGAAAGTTCAGGCAAAGCACATGTGATAAGCCTCCATCCTCACCTTTTGTAAACACAGGACAAAGCCTGTGAACTGTTACTAGCAATGGCAATACAGCTGCATCATTGTTACCGGCATTACTGGACTACCTGCTATTACCTTCCAGTTATGGATTAATATTTGTAGGTTGCACACTGTACGTAGAAACAGAGATAAATATTTCCACAAAGGGCATGGGAAGGAAGCGGAAGTAATGCTGACTAGAAAACAAGCTATTGCACCTGAACTCATTAGTTTTATGAGCACAGTCCATAGTCCAAACACACTCAGCATAGACACACTGGGTGTGTATACTGCAAACAAGGTCACAAAATCCCCAATACAACAATTATGTGTGAGAGTGGAATTGGGGCCACACTAGAATAGCATAATGATGACTCCTGATTTTATAGCTTACTTCAACAAAGTGGGGAATAATAAGCATCTTCCAATAGATATTCTCTAAGTATATATAGCATAGGATACTTATCTGAGCTTCTGTCACAGAATAGCAGCTATTTAAAGTACTGTCGGGTCATCTGCTTAAAGCACATATTCATGGCAGAAAGCAATGAGCATTTGGCTTTGAAAAAATAATTTTAATCAATTTTTTCATCAGTATGGTCCATCACGTTATTCAGAAATAGCTTCTTTCAGTAAATGGGTTGTGAATCAATAGTAGATATAAATAAAGCGGTACAAAGGGCACATCATTTAACAAGCTGCCAATCGCTGGAGCAGAAGACGACAGAAATCAGTATTCCACGATGGATACACAAATAATTCAGAAACAGGAAGATATTCACAAAGATGTCACCTTTTTACAGAAACTCCAGAGTTCTGTCTTGTGTCAAGAACCACTGAATTATACATAAGTTTGTATGTATTTTAAATGAGAGATCAGTGCAAGATGGAGTTTGAGCTGAAGTCTGTTTTTCACTAACCATTTTCAAGCTCATCCCTCTTGCAGAGTTCTTGAAATACAGAGACTAAATTGCCAGGCTGCCAAAGATCTTTCTGGAGCCAGGGAAAAAAAACCAAAGAGAACCCAAAAACCTGCAGACTTTGTATTATACTTCAAAGGATCCATTCTTGAGATATACCGACTACCCACAATTCCCGTAAGGTGAAAACTGGTGTTACTCAGCACTTTTTAAGATTTAGCCTCCAACAGAAAGAGGAATAAAAAGAGTTTTGTTCAAGCACAGGGATCATACTGATTTGTATTAGTTATTCACATCAGGACAATCTTATTTAGATGTTGCCAGTAAGAGCTTAGAACATGACTCATATTGTGTCTCTCACAACTGTTAATTATTAATTAATATGTTATTTGGGACATAGCTAATATTTTCAGGCCATTTGTGTGAACAGTTGTTTTCAGCTGTGAGAGTGCTAGTTGCCAGGAATTCAGTATCCTTAGGTATTTCATAATTATTAAACATACATTATGTTAATCTGAAAAATCTTACTTCTGTCATCAAAACTATGAGCTCTGCATCTGTTAAAAAGTGTGATTCTCATGGCATAGTTTCAGCCTGCAGATTACACATCCAGTCATGGTTTAAAAAAACCGAAACAACAAAGATAAGGACAGAATATTTTTAACTACTGACCCGCAGTTAAGATTGCACAAGCTGTCATGCTCACTAACCATGAGGTTTTACATACTTTCCAAAGTATTTATTATTTAAATAGGAATTCTGCGTAATTACTGCAAAGCACAGAATTGTCTAATTTCGCTTTGAACCCTTCTGAGTTACTGACCTCACAAAACATTGTGCTGCAGTAAAAGCAAAACTTGACTCATAGGACGAATGCACTACAATTAGTTTTGAATTTGCCATGTTTTAATGTAGCTGTTCTATTGTTACTGCCTCACAAGATAGAATTTCCCATTATGTCTTCTTAACACCATCTGTTAGTGATGGTTATGACAGTACTGCATAGTGGGTCAGCCGGGAATGGCGCCCCAAATGTGCAAACACCGTATATAAAAGAAATACAAGTTACTCTCTGCCTGGCAGATTCAACAGACAAAAAGCTGGAAGGAAGCAATAGGGGCAGAGGGAACAACAAGGCGGGAGCATACATTGTGCCATTTTTATTTTTGTTTTCACGTATTTCAGTCCTTTCCCTGAGGCTCGTTATGAAATAACTGAGTAGACAAGATGACCAAGGTAACAAAGACACAGACCAAACTATAGCAAGCAGCCTATGAAAACACATCAGAGGAGATTTCGAAGTGCAGACTTCAAGAAAGCAATTCAGTGGTACTGCCTTAACTTCAGTTTCTAGAGGCACCTCACTTTTTCTTCTTTGTATAGCCCATGTTCAGTGCTTAAATGTCCCACTCCTAAACACTCTGGATGAGGGGAATAGACTCTCTTATTTAATACCTACTCTCTAATAGGCTAAAAATACAATGAATTTCTGCTTTCAATATAGTTGCTAGCTAGGAAGTGTTGCTATTTCATAGATAGGAAATAGAAAGGCAAAAATTGTCTGACTAAGGAAATCCGGGAACAGGTAAGTACATCTACAGCATTCTTTTATTTTTCTAATCTAGAAACTGCACATCCTCAAGTGTACTTTACAACAGCTAATATATGTAAAAGTAGTAAGAAACGTATGCATTACCCTATTTTCATTAATAAAGTCTTCCAAACTATCCAGCTTCACTGGATCAATATTACCAATTATTTTGACCACACTTCAGATGAATAATGGGCATAAAACAAATAACTCATTGTCACAAAGCAGTCTTAAGCATCTATTTAATGAGACTGGCAACACCAGTACCAGATGAGTGAAAGTCTTTCTTACACTGTATCTCCTAAATTATTTAAGTACATTAATGCTTAGAAGTTATAGGTATTTAAAAAAAAAAAGACAACATTTGCCAGCCAGTACTGTATCCAGAATATCATTTATTTCTTTCAAAATTCAATCAGATGAGTGTAAGGTCCATTTGTATTCAGTTTTAACACCTGCCTGTTTCCGTATGTGCCATGCTTGACACAAACACCTGCCTCTGCACATCTGGTGCTGGCAGACAGTTCTTTTTCACACAAAGTCACAAACTGAAAATAAAGTTCCAAACCTTTTTCTTTTTCAATGTTTGCATGGTACTGCATCTTCTTTCCCTTCAGTTTACCGCCTAGAGTAGCTTGTGGTATGATTAGCACATCGCCTGGTAAATCCAGAACAGAAACGTACTCGCCGCTTTCATTTTCACTTAATTTAACACTCAACAGCGTATGGACTGCAAAAAAATAAAGTAAGAGTTAGTGTAACTGAACCAAATTAAAGAGCACCTAATAAAACATCATAAACAAGATATAACAAATATTGTGGTGTGTGACAAATTATTAGAGTAACAGGAACTGCTTATTAATGAAATGAAACATAGTTAGTAAACACTATCAACCAGCTAAGACGTCTGAGTATTGTGAAGAATGTCAAGGATATTTATATTAATATAGTATGACTAAAGACTTGTATTTTGGTTGTCTGAAATCCCGAAGTTGATTCTAGTTGGACACCCCCAAAGGAACCCAGGATCCAATTAAGGACCCTAATTTAACTACCCTATACTCAAATAGGCAACATTTGCACAACAGTACACACTGCAGGAGATAACACCATCTTCAGTGCACTTTGGAGAAGTTTCTGCCCAAGGGTCTTTTCATTCTGCTTGCAGCAGCAGGACCCAGCACTGATCTGGGCTGAAGTCACAACTCTGCAGTTTGGTCTCAAGTGGAGTGAGTGTCCTTTAACACTCCACTGTGAGATGAATGGGTGCCAGCTTGTCTTTTGAGAGAGGAAATGGGCAGGAAGGTCAAAGATGCAATTTGGTCCATAAGCCAGAATATATAAACTTGCAAACAAAATTGATGCATTTACTAACATTATATTTTCCAATGTATATACGTTTGCATAAGAAATCAAATCATTCCCCCAAAACCGCCTCCAACTCCGTAAAAGCTAGGAGGATACTAGTCATGCCTCCAAACCTGTACAAGTTTAATGTTGTTGGAACCAAGAAGAGCTGAGTTGTGATTCAGGAAGCAAACCCAGTCATTTAAACAGTTTCAAAATATATTTAGGAAAAAATACCTTATAAGACAAGACACTTAAGGAGGATAGTTGTAGATGAATATCCTAATAGGAAACAACTTTTTCTGGCCTGTTTCAGCAGCCAGACAGCTGAAAAGCTCATTATTCTCAAGTAAAGTAACACTCTCATGAAACCCTCACAAGCACAAAAGCAATTTTCATATCACAGTTTTAAATACACCCAAAGATTTCAACTTAGTTTAGCATCACAGAAAGATTCTCCCAAGACCCCCAACAGCTGCTCTCAGCATTTTTAATAGCACCTGTGCTACTGCACAGGCTGTGTGCACTGCCAGGTCTTTCTGCTGGTCCCAGTCAGTAGCCCAGAATAGAACATTGTTACTTGACCTTTTGAAAAACCACTAATATCAGACAGTGTCCTGGGTTCAGCAGTAGCAGTCATTTTTCTCCTTCGTGGTAGCTGGTGCAGTGCTGTGTTTTGACTTCCAGCCTGGGAACAGTGCTGGTGATACCGATGTTTTTGGTTGTTGCTAAGTGATGTTTACCCTGACCAAGGACTTTGTGAGGCTCATGCTCTGCCAGGGAGGAGGGGAAGCCGTGAGGAAGCAGAGATGGGACGCCTGACCCGGGCCAGCCAGGGAGGTATTCCATACCACAGCAAGTCATGCCCGGGGTGGGGGGTAACTGGGAGTTACCCGGAAGGACACGGGCTTCCGGGTGGAACTCGTTTTCTTGGCCGGTGGTATTGTATTCTCTTCCCTTGTTATTTTCCCTTATCATTGTTGTCGCTGGTGGTAGCGGTGGTGATTTGTGTTGTACATTGGTTGCTGGACTGTTCTTGTCTCAACCCGTAGGAGTTGCCCTCTTTCAATCCTCCTCCCCGTTCCTCTGGGAGTGGGGAAGGGGAGAGCCCCGGGGGGGGGGGGGGGGCCCTCGATTGTTGTCAGCCCGGCACCACTCACTGGGAGTGAGTGAACAAGTTGCCTGACTGGGTTTAAACCACGACAGACAGTCACAGAAAAGGGGCACTTTTATCTGGAATTAAAAGTGGCATCATGGAATTTCCCAGGTGGTGCAGTGCTACTGATGGAGGAAAGGAAGGTGAGGAATTAAATAAACGTAAAGAAGAAAACAAAACCAACCAACCAACCAAAACTTCAAGATAAAACAACAGTGGGTGAAGACAGAAATCGCTACCATTTGATCTTAACTACAGCATCTTCTCTGCTTTGATGTCAATGTTAAAGTGCATGTGGAGAAGAGGGAAAGAACTGCAGATATTGCTGTTATCACTTCTGCATCAGAAAACTGCACTTAAAATGCTAACTGCTTATAGTATCACTGGAAGGAGACAGGAAGGACAGAGTTTAGTTATCCACCCAACTCCCTCTACTGGCTATAATTTTAAATATCCTGCACCTACAGTGAGATCAGTGTTAAAATACTTCTCAAATCAAGCCATGAATTATTTAAAAACAGTTTTCTCTAAACTGAGATCTGTCCTGGACTGAACCTGCTGCCTGATACATGTGATATGTCAAACAGCAGGTGACACACTTTGTTTGCTAGAATGTTATCATCATGGGAATTGACTTTCTAAATGACAGGTTGATCATGAGCAGATGGACAGAGTGAGAAGTACGGACAACTGTCAAAAGAAACAAGATCAAGCAAGCTGTTCTTTCAGCCAGGTGATTGATTTGAAATGATGCTATCTGATGGCTTTTTGACTTCTTGTCCAAATGGTTGCTGCCTTCTCTGCCTCTACTGCTCTTCTTTTTCAACAATACAAGAATTGATAAGGATTATATCATACCAATTTTTGGAACAAGATCTTCATCAGCACCTTTGAAGAAGCATATGTAGATAACAAGCCCACTCTGGATCTACAAAAGATTACAGAAAACTGTCAATGTTTCTCATTGTCCAGTACGCACACTTATCATTAAAACTAGTATCAAAAATAGCAAAACTGCATAAGAAAAGCTTCTGAGAGCAGTTTTAGTTATCTAGTATAACTTCAGACATTTACGCACCATACTGTGGAAGCTTATGAGATACACAGTGATTATCTGCACAATGCTTCTACATACAATTAAGCCAATTTATTAGCTCCATGTAAAGCCAAATGTAGTTGGAATATACAATGGACAGTATTAACATAGAAAATGTGACAAGATGAATTACAGTACTTAAATCCAGTAAAGGAAATAACTTAAGCTTTTTCCTATCAAATATAAAATAATTTTCAGTGCTAATTACAAGTTTATTTCCTATCACGAAACATGACAAACACCACAGGACTTGGCAGTGAACTGAACTGTAATTTGATGTCAAAAGTAATCTAGTACAGGATAATTCTGAAAAAAACATTGAGTATGTTAATTAAAGATTGAAACATGATGACCAACTTAAATCTGATGACCAACAACTGGAGTTGTTCAGAATATTATTTAACGGTGGGTAAAATCTTTTTGGTGAAATTGGACCTTTCCCCTGATTCGTATAAAGTATATGCTACTTCTTTAGCAGTCAGAGGGACTAATTGTAAGAAATACTGATTTGAGGGAAGAATTAGGTCTGTACTGAGGAAAAAGCACAAGGAAATTCTTGTGTAGCTTTCTTGGTTAGTTCACAAGGACTGTGTGCAACAGCCTCTGCTTTATTAAGACAAACTGACAGGCTCTGCAGCCAACAGCAATTATGTCTCATGCACAGGTATACCTGAATGGTTTAAGTTCTTCAGGACAAAAAAAGAAAGGCATACAATATCCACAGGCATATAGCATCTAAAGAAACCCTCAGCACTGCTTTGTCAAGAATGAGTGTCTTTATATTTTTGTTAGAAGAAAGATAAATGTCAGCTTATGAAATGCCACCTAAGAGATGCCAAGTAGGTTGGGGCAGGAATGAGTCACTAATATAGACATTATCAAAGCAAAAGTATAAGAAATGTGGGTAGTTTCTAAAAAATACCTTTATTATTTTTCTTTTCTTTATTTTTCCTTTTCCCTTTTCTTTAAAAGATAAAGGTTTTAGGTGAAAAAAGCTCAGCTATACACATGAGATTTTATCCCTTTGTTATTGCAGAGATTAAACAAAATGCTCAAGGCAATGACTGAGAAGAGCTATGTCTCCTCAACTATTTTTCTGGTAACTAACTTCTGGAAAAAAAGAGGCTGCTCTTTGTAGCCAAAACGTCACATGCTGAGAACTTTCAAAAGCTTTAAATGGCTCCTTTCAAAACTCATTTTGACCTCTGCACAATATTATACATGTTCCCAAATGACTGCCATATTTCATAAACATTGTAAGAAATTTGATGGCCTGAACCTCAAATGACATTTCAAACCATCTGTTTGAATAAAGGAGGCAGTCTGCCAAATGTGAAATATCCTACATGCTTAGCTAAATATTCATTCAACAAACAGACCAGCATCAAGGTATTCATAGAGAATAACGTGGTACATATACATACTAATAAAAATATTTGTGATAAAATAGGCCAAGCACATTTACATTGTATATACCTGACACTGAATTAGAATTGACTCCATTTAACAGCACACATCACAGAGAATCATTCAACTTGAGAACTGTGACTGGTTTTTGCGTCTCACATACAGAAGTAACAATACTCTGCAAGCAGTTCATTAAAAAACACAAAAAGGTAAAGAAAGTGACACCTGCAAGTCCTAAGACCAGACAGCTAAAGAGTAAGTAAAAACAGTCATAATTTTTCCAGCCTCCATCATAATTTGATGCCTATTCTTTATATACTTTCTATCACAAGATGAGACATAACATCAAGGGGAATTAAAGGGACAGGAGGTCTGATGGAAAAAAAAATAATTCAGAGACAAGTTAAAGATGCTAGAGGATGTTTCTATTTGTATTGCATGCTTTTGATTTTCTACAACACTTTTCAACCATGTTATAGTTGAAAACTATTCAGCTATTTGAATGTTGAAACTTATAGCTTCAACTACAGCTGAAAACTGAACACATGTGCGAACATGTTTCTACCTCTTATTATGTCTTTTTTGTTTAGTTTTTTTAATTGAATAGGAGGTGTAAAATTTAATACAATTTCAAGACCTAACCTAGTAATAATAATTCATGTCGGTCCTCTGATCTTGTATCAGTGTTTCAGGTGCCCTAAGACTAGTGCTTGTTGGCAGTGTAAGGAATGGGAATGTAAAAACCTTTTGAACCAAAGCAAAAACATTGCCTTTGCTGGAGGTCCTCTGTAACCTGTCAAAAGTTTAGCTGACTGCTCTTCACTGCTATATTTAACTAAGGAAAAATTAAGCAAAATAACACAAATAAGGAAGTCATAAATTCAACATGCTGATGTGCAAAGAGCCACTGCAAGGAACTTACGTAGTGATGGGCAGGTGCTTGGCCAGGAAAACTGTGCTTTGTGTGGATTTACTGTTATCAGTAAAATGCCTACATAAATAAACCAGCAAAGCAAATTACTTCGCAACACTAGCATTTATTATACAACTGTCCTAAGTAATCATCAGACCAGGCAACCCGCATCATGAAGGGATGAAGTACCCAGCTCCTGAAGCCATACAGCCAGCCTTAGCAATACTGCCACCAAACACTGCTTTTTAGCTTTTACAGGAAAAACAACCAACTAACTCCTTCCTCACCCTCATTACTAAATATATCCATCTGAATTTTGCAGGATTTCATTAGCAACCCCCGAATATATTCTGCAAAACTACTCTTTTTTCCCCTCACCCCAGGAAAACATAATGCAACTGATAGTGGAAACTGAGTCACTATGTAATCCTTCGGAAGCCAGTTTGTGAAACTAAATTATATAAAGTATTCTTTGACATTTCCATTTCATGTTCGCTGCCCTGTGAGAAGATTTCTTCTTATTTCATACATCCAGCTGCAGCAAAGACAGATTACATCATCTACCGCAGGTCACAAAACAAGCCTGTGCCTGGTACCTTGCACTTCTTTTTGCTGTCTTAACCAGAAAACAAATCAAGGGAAAGAAGATAAGGGAAAAACAGTTTCCACTGCATAAAGCATAGGCACTTACACTTTTTAGCTGAATATTCATTTTACATTTCTTTTCTCCCACAGTTGTGAAATACACCAAATCTCACCTTTTTTCTCTCCTGCCTTTAAAAGGAGAATTCCCTTTTTTATCCCCCTAAGTATTCTGCTGTGTACATAAACTTTTTATGGATGCTATCTAACCAACATTTCTCCATAAACAAGACACCCCATCCCCAGTAATCCTCAACAGGGCAGAAAAACTCAATCATGAAAACACAATGAAGGCAGTGATTCATGTATAGACATAAAGTACTCTCAAACCCTTTCCCAGATAAAGGACATTGACTTTGAAGTTCTTAAAGTATCTACAGGGGTCTCTTACAACCCAGAAGCTATTCAAAGCCATACATAATGTGTTATTTATAGGATACTAGAAATTTCTCAAGGTGAGGACCTACTTTTAAGTTGTTACAGATCATCAGGAAACAGTGGTTTATGTAAATAATAGTTTATTAGGTCTGGTTTGTTTGTTTTTTTTTTTCACTGACATGCATATATAGGGAGCAACATTACAGAAAACCAGCAGCAATGATTCCTCCCAGTGACCTCTAAAGTAGTCATACTAAAGAAAATCGGAACTTTGCATAGGGTGGGTTTTTTTCCTGCATAGTGAGTTCTTGTTAAAACAGATTTCTCTTAAAGGGCCCCAGGTGCCCGGGAAAGATTACCAAGTACCCCATGACAAATATTAGTATGGTTCACGTCTGCAAAGTATATGCTGCTGAGACCACCCAAGTCTCTTGCAGATTCCTTTAGTGCCATCTATTACTTTCTCTGTGATTTTGGTTAAGCCATTTAAAACTTCACAGAACAGATATATACAGAATAACCTCCTTGCAAAAGAATTCCTCATTCTATCTCTAAACCATAACATATGCCTCTTCTGAGACAGTTTAAAAGACAGCCAGCAAAATGACATTTTTGCTTTTATTTACTAGATCTACAATTATTTCTGAGATTAGCAAACTAGAAACAGGGTATTTTTCCTCTAGTTAATTTATGCTGTGCTGAGCAACTTTTGCTGTAATTAACCTTACACCGAGAAGCTAATGGTGCAATACACACAGATGTACTTCAGCCAAACATAGTATCTGTGAGATGACACATATCTCCTCTGAGTAAAACGTTCTGGCTTCCCAAGCCATGATGCAGAAACTAGGTCTCCTGGATCCAGCTGCCTCTTCTGAACAAGGGCAGAAATGTTTTAAGAACAATGTGAAAGTCAAACAGTGGAAACACCTAGACCAACTTTTTTTTTTTAAAACTCTCTTCAGATTTGTTGAATGAACTCATAAGCTCTTCAAACTCACTAGAATTTTTACTTTTTAAGTCTACTACTAATTGTAGTAGACTTTAAAAAGGACAAAAAACACCACCAAAAAAAAGCCAAGGGGTAAACACTTGGCATCTTCATAGATGAGTTATTCTAGTTCAGGTAACCCATAAACAGTGACAACTACAGCACGACAGTGCATCCCAAAGGGCAGCCTTCATGCTTTGGTAAACAGCCCTGGTCTGTATGCCCAGGGAGTCTGCAGACCTACCTACATCTCCCAACAGAAGACTATGGGAAGAGGGAAATTATGATGTTCCCCTCTAGCTGTGTGGAGATCTATGTCCTAAATTTAACTTTTGGTTAATGGTCTAGAAAACAAAATAAATTACAACTACTGCTGCCACAGCCCTGCTGCTGTACCTGGCCTTTCTTCTCCACATGTACACTAACTCACAAAGTACACGGCTGAGCCCATCAGCCAAGTTTGCAGTGCATCTGTGAAAATGTGTTTCTGAAAGGGCAGATAATGGCAACGGAGAACCAAGGTTAGAGGGGAAGGAGCTGTTTTGTGGTGGGGCAGCTGTGCTCTTCTGGAGGACCCAAACTGGAGCATAGGGTAAGAATGAGGAGTAGCAATGAGAAACCTCTGAGCACTGACCCCAGCCTCATGTGCTGCTTGCTGATTCACTGAAGGGACCGACTGTAAACTCTGACAATAACAAGGGGTTAAGGAGAGGGGTCTGTGGTGGAAACTAGGAAGGAAATAGAAGAGGTGTCTGAAGTGAAGCTTAGCCTGGAAGAGGGATTTTTCTTCAAATGCCTGAATATTTGTGAGTTGTTGGTGTGTTTGTTTTTTTCAATATTCAAATCACTAATTAAATTTATTAAACTGGCAGTGAATTAACTTAATTCCCCAAGTCAAGACTGTTTTGCCAGTGCCAGTAACGGGTAAGTGATTTCCCTGACTTTACTCTCTGACCCACTTGTCTTCCTCCTTTCGCTCGTCTCCCACCGTCCCGGTCAGGGTAGGGCAGTGGCCGGGCAGGCGTTCAGCTGCTGCCAGTAACCAGCCGGCCGCTGGGGCTGCTCTCAGCCAACCGGCTCGCTGAAGAACGAAGAGACAGGTTTTGAAGGCAGGCACGGACAGCAGCCCAGCCCCTACCGGGACCTCCTGAAACTCCACAGGCTTATCCACCGCTGTCACCGACGCGGTCGCGCTAAGGGGAGGCTTGAGCCTCGCTCCCGCTGTCGCCACCGAGTACCGTCCCCACGGCCTGCGCACTGCGGCCTCCGCCAGAGGCCCCTGCCTCCATCCATGCGCTCGTCGTGCAGCCGACGGAGCGCCTTGCTGCTGCTCGCCTTGGCCCAGCGCAGCCCCGAGCCGCCTCCGTTTTCCCCGCTCCTCCGAGGGGTGAAGGGCCGGCGCAGACGTTACCTCCACCCATTCGGCCTCGGCGCCGTGTTCGGGCGGCTTCACCTGCAGCCGGGCGGACGTGCACTGCTGGAGCAAGGCCCGAGCCAGCGCCGGCTCCGGCACAACCGCCATAACGATCCCGACTCGGCCTGAGGAGGGCGGGGGTATGCGTGCGCGGTGCGCGGTCCCGTCGCTGCCGCCGGTGTTCGCGTAACGCCTTTCCGGCACCGCAGGCCGCGCCGCACTGAGCGGTGCTGTGGGGCTGGGAGTCGCATCCTCGGGAGCCCGGTGTCGCAGGTGAATGGAAAGAACGGGCGGGAGGCACTGACGGGCTCTGCAGGAGGCAGCGACTTCACGCTGCAGACATTTAAAAGCAGTTTGTGTGACACGTAAGCGGTGAAAAAAGTCCTTGCTGAAAATGTTAGAGAAAACCAGCAAATATCTTTTGCAGGAGGTAAAACAGGGCTTGTGGTCTGTCGGTGGCTTCTAAGGAGGGGCAGGCAGCAAGGGTACAAGCTTTGGAATAGAATAAGCAAAGTATCTCTACAGCTCAATTAACCCGTGGCCTATAGCTACCGGGAAGCGGGTGTGGGGAGGGTAGTCTCTATGAGAAATGGAAAATCTGCTTGTTTTGTGGTGGGGAAACGTTACATGCTTGGGGTAAGCGTTGTATGTTGTGTAGTTTCTCCGTGAAAAAAATAAAACTATTAATCTGAATGTTGTCACTTCTTTATAAACAACTAATGCTTGTGTTTCAGGTGACCGAGATGAACCCATCAAGTTGGAGAGTTTCTCTTCAGTAATGCTGCTTTGGAGTAGAGGGAACAGAAAATAATGTACTGAAAAGGGAGCTGGAGAGGGAGCGATCAAAATAATGACAAAAAGAGTAGTTCTGAAGTGAGATCCCAATGCTAACGGGAAAAGTTAAAGTATTGCAAATACTTTGTTATCTCTCAGGTTTTTGGCTACATACCCAGATAGTCATTGGACAGTTCCGAAATTAGAAGAGTGCCTTCCTCCCATCCATGAAATCTGACAGATGCAATTTTTTAGTAACATGGGCTTCAGAAATCAGGATACAGGGATGCAGAATTCAGTGCCTCTCTCTGAATTAATTTTAAGACTGAAGACTTTATTTTCAAAACTGTGTTCAATTTTTTTTTTTAAATAGTTAAGACTTACTGTGGGTGAGAAGCCAAATTTTGTTACCTGGCCTCCATCACAGAGTAAGATTACTGAAGATGATTACTGCACAGGAAGGGAAAATATGCAGTCGTGAATAGCTAGTGTTATACCTAGGGATGTATTTGGCTTCTCTGTGTTATTTAAAAATAACATTCTCTCTTGCATGAGTGTTCAGTGACGTTGCTCTTCCCAATGCAAACCTTTATGGAAGAAGAGGAAATCGTATTATGTGGTTAGCACATAAACTAGCTAAATTTTGTTAGCTGTAGGGTATTGTTAAGTATGAGCTGGTTTAATTTAAACTCAGCTAATTTTATTTAAAATACCTTCTGTTCACTTACTCTAAAGCTGTATCCCCAGACTCATTAGGAAGAGTTTAATGCTGTAGCAATCCATTTTAAACGAGTTTTTTCTCCATATGTATTTGTAATATAAATTGATTGTTAAAGTAAATGGATTCTACTACAATCTGAGTAAATTATGTAACCAGATTATAGAGGGATAGTAATACCCAAGGATGTTGATCATTCTTTGTTGCAGTACCTTATTTAACCAGGATTTGATGAAGAACATTTATTTATGTGCAAGTTTCAACACAGATGTGTGTGAAACGGCGTATAGAAAAATTAGTATGACATCATTGTTTATTTTTGGATTCTTGGTGGGATTATATTTTCTTTGGGAAGACAAATGAATTTTCTTGTACTGCATCTTGAATTTCTTGAAACTTTTTAGTCCATAGTTAGGTTAAGAGCCTCTCTTTGTATGCCAAAGAATGACAAATTTGTTGGTTACGTCGTAGACAAAAGTTTGGATTTCACTGTTTTTTCACAAACCTCCTGACATCTAAAGAATGTATCAGTGCATAAATTATATTGATATTTTTATCAGTTATTTATACAAATAGTTTTTTTCTACATTTCAGATTTGATAGCTGTCTCAGAATATTTCTTTTATCCTCTCTGCTTGTTGTCATTGGGCAGAAAGTAGGTATTTTGAGAATGGTATTCAGAAGACATTTCTGGTTACTTTCACATCAGTTCTCTTTCGGAAGGGCAGATGGCAGTATGAACCACTTCTCACAGATTTCAGTGGACATGTGTTTTTTCCTTCCCCTTTGTGTGAATGGTCATGCATATTTCATCTACATTTAATGGAATGAATCTTTTTGTGAAGAGGGGGCTGGGTGCTGGGAGCTTTGCCTCTGTGTACTTGGCTTTCTCCTGTTTCCTTAGACGATGAAATGCTAGAGGTCTTTCAGTACCAAAATGATCTCAAGTGGTCTTGACTTTTTCCCTAGGGATTATTTTTAATTTTTTTTTGTTAGTATTAAGTTGCAGTTGCATACTCTGGCAGGGGCAGTAGTTGACTGGAACTTTGAATGGACAAGATGCATCTTGGATGAAATTCCTTTGTCTGTGGTGTCTGAAACCATGATCAAAGGTCTTTAAAGCAGCTATCATATCAACAGTGTCATCTGTTTTAAAGAGAAACCATACAAAGCTGCAGTGGCACTTGGATAGCAAAGATACAAAATAGGTTGCTGGTAAGGTTATATCTTGGTAGAACAACAGCTTGTGGGACAGACATACTAAAAGTACACTTTTTAATTTGCCCATGCTGAACAGATCGGTCCCTGACACGCGGTATCTTTTTTTCAAGATGTTAAAACTGCCACAAGACAGCTCAGAATGACAGTGTGTTTTGTTTCTGAAGTGATGTTTACCATCTTACATCCTGAACTGAGTCAAGTCCTTTGCTTTCTGTTGGATAACTTTTTCTTCTCTTTTGCTCCCAGATTATGTATTTTGCTTGTTTCTTAGCTACGTAGCCTAACATGCTATCTGGGATGAGCTATCTGGCTCTTCATTTTTGGTGATTTTTTATTTTTTTGTAGCCTGTTTCTCCATCTAGTTCAAGATCCAGTTAAGCTTTCTTCTTTCTACAGCCTCAGAATTGCTAGCTGAAATGCTGATTAGCTGGAAGAGAGGAAATACTGCTGAACAGCGATGTGGATGTAGAGAGGATTAGGTGGTCGTGTGTCGTGGTTTAAACCCAGTCAGCCACGCAAGTCTCGCTCACTCATCCCCCTTCCTCCCACCACTCCCAGAGGGATGGGGAGGAGAATCGAAAGAATGTAACTCCCATGGGTTGAGATAAGAACAGTCCAGTAACTAAGTATAACACAAATCACTGCTGCTACCACCAAGAATAATAATGATAAGGGAAATAACAAGGGAAGAGAATACAACCGCTCACCACCCACCGATACTCAGCCTGACTGAGCAGTGATCCAACCCTTCCAGGCAACTGCCCCCAGTTCACACACTGGCCATGATGTGCTGTGGTATGGAACACCTCTTTGGTTAGTTTGGGTCAGGTGTCCAGTCCTTGCCCTCCCCCGCCCCACCCCGGCTTCCCCTTCTCCAGGGCAGAGCATGAGACTCAAAGTCCTTGGTCAAAGTAAACATGACTTAGCAACAACCAGAAACATCAGTGCTGTTCCCAGGCTGAAAGTCAAAACCACAGCACTGCACCAGCCATCAAGGATTAAAAATGACTGCTACTGCTGAACCCAGGACATCGTGTTAGAATCATTTTATTGTCTAAGTAGCAGACATTTAGACACATTATGATGGCTGTATTTAGTACTGACTTCTTTCTTATTCAAAGTGCTGTACAGACATTAAGGTCAGGAACATGCCTGCCTCCCAGCCATCATCCTCCTTCCTCCAGAGGTATTTAAAAATAAGGAAGGCAGAGAGAGGGTATGAAGAATTTCCCTAGTGCAAGTCAAGCAGCAGAAATAAGATGGAATAGCAGCCTTGTCAATCAAAATCCACAAGTATTGCACAATGCCTGTATAAGGCTACCAGAAATTGCTCTTTCAGAGGAGACATGGGGTGAGGACTGTCAGCAGCCTAGCCGTCCAGAGACCCCCCAGATCTGTTTACCCTTCAAAAGAAACATTGGGGGAAGGTGACTTGAGAGGAAAAGATGGCATTGTGATTTTTATCTTTCTGGTTTGCACTATATCCCTGAGGAAGGTTGTGACCTCTTTAGCCCCAGTTTTGTAGCTTCAGTTGGCACACCTCTTCAGCTCTTCCAGCAGAGCCAACTTGCTGTCCCCGGGAATGTCTCAATTGTTTCCAGTGAAGGCTGGTATTCCTGTTGTGGAAGAGTAATCCTGTGATTTAAGCAGCTGATTTTATGCATGTTTAAAGTATGCAGCGAAAATTAAATACATTAGTAAAAACAGATCAGTGTTTTGTTTAGTCCTTCATACTGTTACAAAACAGATACTGAAATGTTAGAGCAATCAAAAGTTAATTAAATTTCTGAATAGAGTAACAGTGTGAAAGCTGTGTTGGGTACAATTACAGCTTTTCTAAGTGAGAAGCAGAAATTTGACTCGGGGCGGGGGGGGGGGGGGGGTAGGAAGGTAGCGGGATAAAGACACACAACCTGTTTGCTTACCATATTGTCTAAAGGAACTAAGTACACTATTAATGATGGTTTCTTTCTCTACAGGTGTTATGTTCCTTTGACTGTGATGTTTAACTACTATAATTTTACCCTGCTTGGGTGTATCCCATACCAAACCTTTGTCTGCATGATTGAAAGACATTAATATTTAAAGGACTTCTGTATCCTGCTCCAAAGAAATAAACAAAGCAGTGGGAATAGCCTACCTACTGTATGTACCTTAGGGTATAACTGTAACACCTTACACTGATTATAAGCAATACAGTGTTTTTTTTACAGAACTGAGCTACTCTAGTAAGCTTTGGCCCTGAACCTTATGGTCACAGGGCCTGGCACAAACAGCGAGGAGTAAGGACGCTGAATGAGTCTGCAGCTAAACAGGCTGTTTGGCAGCCCTGAGCAAGCTTGGTATACTCAGCCAGCCAGCTTTGATCAGTGAATCTCAGCTTCAGGTTCTTGTTCTCTATATGGAACTGCTGACCATACATCTGAGCAGAGCCTGGCACTGGTCTGGCAGTGTGGTAGGTGGCAGTTCAGCTTTGTTTCAAGCCACTAAGCTAACTCACACCTGGCTGTTATAGATGGGTGGTGCAGACTGGGTTCCTCCTAATGGAGGAGGTATTTATACTGAACCGTCTTGCAGAGGCCCTGCAGAGCACAGGTCCTACATTCTTTGTGCTCTGTGCTCACAGCTGGTTTGGTGTGGGCCCCACCAAGTATTTGTGCTGTGCTTCACAGCCCCTGGATCATTGTCCCTGTTATGCTGTATACTGCCTCTGCTTCTGCCACGTAAAGCAATTCAGATCTGTTCTCCACAGGTATTGCTGCATCACTGCTCTCTGCACCTCATAAACACTTTTGCAATAGTAATTAGTGCTACAGAGGTGTGGTTTTGTTAGGTTGTTTTGTTTGTTTATTTGCAGTGAGAAATGTTGATGATAATGTGAAGACATGACTATAGACAAAAATGTATCAGTATCTTCTAAGAGCTGGAACTTGAGTTTCTATGTTTTCAATAGATTTTATATGTAAAATTATCAGATTATTGGTATAAAGCCTTATTTTATTATTAAAAATGTACATGGATTGAGATGTGGCTTTTTCTGCTCCTTTCACAATAGAATGAAAGGTCATTTATTATTCTCTGTGTACCTGGAGGACTCCTTGACTGCAGTTACAGTTGAGTATGCAGGCATAATCAGGCTGCGTGTAATTTCTTTGCCTTTATGTGGATGACTTTCAAAATAAAACTTGCTACAGCTTCAGGCCAAAAGCTTTCTCCTTGAGCCACAGCTCCTATCATTTTTTCCCCTCAGGCATACTTATCCTTAGCTAGTCAGGAAAGTGTGCACACAAATGATAGGTCATTAGAAAATTCTCTGAATGGCAAACCTCTGAAGTCATCCCATTTGCCATGCATCATGATGAAACTGGGTAAGTTTGAGGAGGCACTAATTATATGCTTGGTCTGTCATTTATCAGTTGTTGGAGCTGTTCTTAGAAAATGGCAGCCTCTTTCATGGCACAGTTCAACAAGATTGCCAGAGCTCAATGAGCCAAGCAGGGTTGACAGATTTTGGCATTTTATTCCCTTCAATGTAAGAACATCCCATTACAACACAAATGGGTATCTTGCTTTGCTGTAGCACTGCATCATATACAAATACAGTAATGTTGATCTGTGGGCTTTCCTTAAAATCGTATTTGGGGATCTAATTCCCCTTAAAACAAATAGCAACTGTAGGACTTGCATTTACCATCACCCTTGATGGTTTGTTTCACTTAATACAATAGTGAATATATAATCCTTTTGTGATTTTAACCGACATAAATAGAAGGTGATCTTGTTTCCCCTCAGGTCTTGTGAGAAAAAAAGCAGATGTTTAATGCAGTGAGCTAAATAATAGAAGATTGTAAATTGTAATGAATATTCATGGTTTCAAATAAGATAATGGACCATGTGTCAAGAAATAATGTGGCTTCCTGCTATGATTTCCAGTGTGGCTTAACATGTTTCACAGAGCTTCCAGTTTCAAGAATTGCTTTTTAATACTGAGTTTTCACACTTTTCTTAAAACGCAGATTTTTTTTTCATGCATGTTTCTGAGCTCATTTGGGATGAAATCATTACTTTATTTGATACCTCAGAAGCGCTGCAATGATAAAAGGAGATTTTTCACATAATCTCTCAGTGTTTGGTTTTTTTTTAGCTGCCAAAGGGCCAGTTTCTTTCTTTTACAATAGATGCTAAATAGCTGCTACAGAGTGGAAGTAAAATACTTCATCTTCAATATTTGATGTTCTAACAAAATAGAAAAGTGGTGTTTGGTGTAACTTCTTCTTAAAGAGCTTTTTATTTCACAGATAATTCTTGGAACCGCTAGAGGCTTACATTTTTTTGGATAACTAGGTAAAACAATTACTCTGTAATGTGGAATATTTTCATATCAATTACAGATATCTGATCTTTCCCTGGATACTCTATTGTCCATAGGACAAAAAAACAGTTGCATCTTCATAGTGACAGTCTGAGTGAGGGCCACGTCCAAATGAAAAAACCCTGTCATTTTGGTGCCCACAAATATGAGGTGTTTTAGCTCCTGATATAGAAAACACAACTCTAACTAATGCACTCTGCAGCTTAGAGAATGAGTGAAGTTTACCTTCTTGTGAATTTTCTACATCTGTAGATTCTACTCTACATTTGTACTAGGAAGTTAATTAATTGCAGGAAATATTCTTTGGACACTGTGACTCATCTTTACTTTTGACAGTTCTTGATGTATTTTTGGCTAGGGCTCATTCACTAACAAAAAAATTCCGGTCCTGGTTCAGCAGTTAATACGGGCCAGAGCCCACTGTCAATAAGCGGGTTGCACAACACAACCCTGCTTTGCAAATCTCCTTTCTCTAATGACTTCCATGAGTCCTAAGTGTGAGCTAATAAGATAAGGGCTCAATTCAACAATCACTTACTGTCAAAACAATTTTCTATTTTCTGTGAATAGTCTCCATATTTCCTCTAATAGTTACATTTCCTCATGTCAAAATTTAATTAAATCAGTATTTTAAAAGGTACAGTGCAATCCTTTAGTGGCACTAATTAGATGAATGCAAATTGCATTTATTTCTGTAATAGAGTTGGGTTTTAGACATTAGTTCCAAGATCCATAATGCAAAAGCTTTCATGGAATACACCCAAGTGTATTGGCGCCCTTCTGAAATACCTTGCACTGCTGGTGTATGGGTATTTATGAGATAAGTATTAAATGGCCGTGAAGCAAAACTGAACTTCTTTGGAATATGAACTAGATTTTTAAAATAATTATTAAACACCAGAAACACTAAAAGTAGTTGTAATGTCTCCATCAGCATCATTGGCCAAATAAGATTCATTTGGTATACAGAAATCATTTAGGCTTAAGGTTCTGATGTTAACAAAAATGCTTCCTCTAAAGCATAAGCTCATTACTGAGAAAAAATGAATGGAAAGCAGATTTAAAATTATTTCATAAACTGAAATTGTGACTAAATGCCTTTATGACTAAGACCAGTGCTGTCAGATGGTTTTCTGAAGCTTTTAGGCCAGTGAACATAATTTTTATCCTGTTTTTTTACAATCTCTAATACAATAGGAGTCTTTCTGTCCCAGGTATCTTATCATTGCAATTTAACTCCATTGCTGGGAAAAAAAAAAAAAAAGAAAACGGAAAGGAGAATGAAAGAAAGACTAGAAAATGCAAGTGTCCTGGGTTCAGCAGTAGCACTCATTTTTCCCCCTTCTTGGTAGCTGGTGCAGTGCAGTGTTTTGACTTTCAGCTCGGGAATAGAGATGATAACAAGCGATGTTTTGGTTTGGCCAAGGACTCTGTGAGCCTCATGCTCTGCCAGGGAGGAAGGGAAGCCAGGAGGAAGCAGAGACAGGACACCTGACCCAAACTGACCAAAGAGGTATTCCATACCACAGCACGTCATGCCCAGGATGTAACTGGGAGTTAGCCGGAAGGGCTGGGGGACTGCATAGCTTGGTTGGGCTTGGGGGGCGAGTTATCGGTCGGCTGGTGGTGAGATGATGTATTCTCTTCCCTTGTTATTTCCTTTATCATTATTATCACTGGTGGTAGCAGTAGTGATTTGTGTTATACCTTAGTTACTAAACTGTTCTTATCTCAACCCGTGGGAGTTGCAATTCTCCTCTCCGTCCCTCCGAGAGCAGGGGGAGGGCAAGAAAGGGGGGGAAGTGAGTGAACGAGTTACCTGACTGGGTTTAAACCACGACAGCAAGTCTTCCTTCATATATGGCAAAGATTAGGAATACTTCAAAAGAAATCAAAACCTTTGCTTTTTGTTCAATGGAAATATTGTTAATTGCAGTTCATTCCATTCATGCAAGCAATATCTATATATCAGGTACATAAAAAAAAATTATGTGGCTTTGTTACTGAAAGGCATATTCAACAAAGTAAATCTCTTCATCTTCTGTATCACTTGTTTAAGGCTGAGAAAATTGCTGTAATACCAGCTGCGTCTTCACTGTGATGTGACTATTACTATAGTAAGCAGTTAACCTCAAGAACTTGGTAGGTGGCTTTAGAAGAATCTAGCAACAGTTTAAATAAGGTTTTCATCTCTTCTTGACAGAGAAAGACTGCACTGATTAAAATGTCCACATGAAAACAATATACAAACTAAATTGGACTCAATTTTGCCAGATTCCTTCTCATATAGCAAAGCAGAACTAATTTTTTCACAATGTAATTTTTGTCACAGTTTAAAGTTTGGCAAAGCAGTCATCAAAGTAGGATGAAGCTACTTGTGTGGTATTATCACAGAATCATAGAATGGTTAGGGCTGAAAAGGACCTTAAAATCATCTAGTTCCAACCTCCTGCCATGGGCAGGGACACCTTCCACTAGACCAGGTTGCTCAAGGCCCAGTCCAAGCTGGCCTTGAACACTGCCAGGGATGGAGCAGCCACAACCTCCTTAGATAGCCTGTTCCAATATCTCACCACTGTCACAGTAAAAAATATTATTATTATTGAAAATATTAATACACATGATAAAGGAAAAATAATACATTATTACTGTTTTTATGTGTTTTCACTGTTAAGATGTTGCAGTTTCAAGTATTGCCATATATAACAAAAAAAGTTTGCCTCTTAAACAAGGTAATGTTCCATATGAAAACACAAGTAAACCTCACTTGTTTTGTGTGGATATTTGAAATCAGAATCTGTTAAAATCCTTTGGGCCAAATTTACTTTGCAAGAAGTGGTCATAAGTGCCTCAATATCACTGATGCTGGCCTTGGTATCTAAGCTACGCAGGAAAAAGACATAGTTTGTCAGCCCCACAGGAGAATGATATTCTGGCAAGGGCCATGACAGCAACTCTGGCTTGGTCTCCTCCCAAAGGGAGAACGTAGCAGCCATCCTGAGACATGCTAATGAGCCCAAGGCTCAGAAATGAGGGCAGAGCAGCAAGGCTCTGGGTTCTAGCAGCTGCTGGGTAAGAGCACAAGAAGTCACAGAGGATTGACATTTTTTTCAAACTAGGCTTAGCTTTAAAAAAGCTTGGGAACAACTGCTCCGGTTTAAGTAGCATGGAAAAATGGGAATGTGATGATCCCAGATGCCTTCCTTGCTCTATAGCAGTCTGAGGCTCAGATAGAAGCAGAGTGTCTAAGCTTTAAGAGGCAATCATAGTGAGTTCTCCTGGCTTTCCCAGAAATGCCACAACTTCCATAACTCTTTAAGGCATTGTATCTTATTTTACTATATAACAATATATGGAAGATTATATCAATTTAATGATAGAATCATCTATATTTCTTATCAGCCTCATAGTCCATCACATGAGCTTTGATAACTGGCTTAAAACTTCAGTATCTTAGACTTCCTTTCCCCACCAACCAAATAATTATTGTTTTGTGGACAAAATGATAAAAAGCAACATTTTAACGTTATTTATCTTAAATGTGCCAGAGCTGGCTGACCAGACAAGCTAAAATAATGAAATCAGTGACCCCCATGCCACACAGACTTGCCTTGGTATGATATGGTATACCTCTATGGCTAAAGATTACAAGGCCTGCCTGGTCACGAAGCTAAAATGAACACTTAGTTTTGAAGAACATTTCCTTAGCCTTCCTTTAATGTAATTTCTAGTTTACCAATCATGTGTTTTGGTCACATCCATTGTGACCAAAATGGATGGATCATATGAGTAAGTTTGCAGCATGTCCTATAGTATATATGTTACTATGGTATTAATACACTACTGTGCAGACGCACAGAAATGTAAATAGAAATACAGGGCTCCATCACCCTTGAAAGCTTATAGACTTGATAAACCACTCTTTTTTTAGCCACTTACTTCCTACTGCACTCAAGTCAACCTGATTAGCTACCAAGTAATTTTAAAATGTTAATTCAATTTTTAAATTTGGAGTCAGTTGGCAACAAATCTTCCCTCACTATACCTGATTATAATTGATTTTGGCTGCAGAAAGAATACACTTAAACACAAGACAAACTGATTTCAGACAAAAATAAATTATATTTTTATCATGTTAGCATTCTGGCTGAATAGAAATTTAAACATTTTCTTTCACTTACTTAAAGAAAATGTCATCAATTTTCATTAAAATTATATATTATGTCTTTCGTTTTTTTGAACTATTGAAAAGTCCAGAGTGGAATTTTCTGACAGATGCAGAGATTGCCTGTAGTTTCCATAAGGGCTCAAATCTGTAAGTAAAATCTTTAATTTTTGGTTGCATCTTCCTAGCGTCTTATTTTAGAACAGTATGTGGACTGCGATGACATGTTGGGCAAGCAACTTACTCAGACCAATACTTTCAAATGTGAAAATTGAAACAGGAAGCCAAAAGCAATTATGAGAAATGTATAATCCCTGAAACTGTCTTTATAATTAGAAGAGACGATAGAGTACACCTCAATCAAACTCTAATTCACGTACTCTACTGTTAACAATCAAGGTATTTTGAAAATTCCTGAACAAATTTATATTTCTTTCTAATGGCCAAATTCAGACTTTCATATTTGCATTCAAATACAACCTACTGCCATATTAGCTCTCCTATTACCAACAAACCAGGCTAAAAGGAATTATTTTAGAACTAAGAATACTGAGAATTGTTCTTTATTAGTAAGTTTTGGAAAGCTCCTTCACCATACTTTTCAATTGTATTTTGTGCTAGATCAGCTTTATAAAACAACTATCCCACAAAAACATTCATGAGGGTTGTTCCAGCCATTGTTAGAACTATTCTCAGAACCAAAGAGTACACAACAGAACTCTTTTTGCCATTTTCTTTTCTTTGCATAGACTTTGAAGTGATGGATATCTGAACTGTATGCCTACCAGTGATCCTGCTGTACTGATTTTATTTCTATGAAATCAACAGTATTTTGCTCTTTAACACTGCCTCCAACTGCTCAAGGTAGGAAAACCAATTACACAATTTTCTTGCACGACAAGAGGTAACATGATTTCCTGAGGCAGTGAAAACAAGGCCCTTGAGGCAGATCTGGATCATAGTTTCAAAATTAAGTAGCTCATTGGTTTTCAGGATTCTTTTGCATTTTGGTTGGCAGTAGGGTAAATTATTGGAAAACGATTTGACGTCTTCAGGTGTGTTAGCTATTCAAAATACCCTCACGTTGGTGCAACAAAAATGAGAGTTTGAATAAGAATCACTTAAAGGACAGCAGAAGAGTTTATTTTTATAATTACAATTTTTGTGTGGTAGCTGAGCATTGGAATAAGCCTTTGAAAATGGTATTTTTTAGTAAAATGCTAATAACACAGGTTAGAAAAATAACATTTGAAATAGTAAAAATTCTGGTCACTGTGAAATAGAGGAAATGTTTATTGTAATAATGCTTTAAACCAATGTAAAATCCTCTGATCTATTACCTATTACAACAGTTACCAACAAAAGACAGTATCTACACTGTATTTTACCTTTGAAAACTAATGGCCTGAAACTGCCAAGATTTGAATTACTTCTATAGTACCACTCACATGAATAAGGACTATTCATGAAATTGTCAAGAGCAAATCATGTCAAACCGATCTAATTTCCTTCCACTCTGTGGTTACAAGCTTTGTAGGTGGAAGAGAAGCAGTAGACGATTTTTTTTTTTTTTTTTGTATCTTTAAAGCTTTAAATAAATCTCACACAAGAACAGAAACGTGGCTTTGATGAAAATTCCATGGAGTGGGTGTAAAATGGCTGGAAAACTCAAACTATAACCAGAACAATTATTAGTGCTTTAGTATTAAAAACCCAAAAGAAAATCAAACAAAACAAATCAGGTGGCATCTGTCCCAGCTACAGGTCTCTTTGTTCTTTTATTAATGTCCCAAATGATGAAATTGTATATACTTATTTGCAGAGAACAAACACATGAAGGACCAAGTTCTTGGCCACCCATTGCGTGGGTAAAGAGGAGAATTCAGAAGGCACCGACCAGCTGAAGGAGTGCCACAGAGAAAACAGGAACGAGAGCCAGCGGGGACAAGTGCAACACTGAGGAATAACCCCTAACCACTTTGTAATATGTACTTTCCTCTTGGGCCCAGTTTTCTTACAGACAGCGGAAGGGAGCTGCTTTCTTGTGTTGCGGCTGTTTTACAGTGCCACCGCTCAGCATTCTATTCGGGAAGGCGCTCGTTTCCACCCAGGTCCCCAACCGCAGCCGTTCTCTCAGCACAAAGTCGTCCATCGATCCCGGGGCCTGACAGGTCCGCTCAGCCCCACCGCGGGGCGCAGGGCTCCGACCTGGTTGACAGAATCCCGGCCGGGCTCAAGGGGCGGGCCGAGGCGCGGCGAGACGGCGCCATCTCAGCGCGCCGGGGCGGGCCGGCGGCGGGCATGGGGGCTCTCGCTTGGCGCTGGGCACTGCGCGCTGCCGGCTTCCCCTTCAGCGGCGGGAGGGCTCCAGCGACGCCGCGGCGTGACCCAGGGTGCGGTCCCGCCGTTTGCACCGCTCAGTTCGCCAACTCCGCGGTGAGTGAAGCGTGAGCTCTCCGCCGTGCGCCAGGTCCGCCCCGGGGAGGGAGGGGAGCGGGGTAACCCTGCCTGCCGGTCGCGAAGCGTCGGGCTGTCCGTGGGCTTGAGGCAGATTCCGGGGGCCCAGGAGGCGGGAGGGTAGTTGCGGCTCAGATCCGCTCGGGGCGCCGTGTCGTGGTGTGCCGTGGCGCAGGAGGCTCAGCAGCTGCCCCTTGCTGCGGGGGTACGGCCGCTGCAGCGTTTTTGGCACGGGGCGGTGTGCGGGGGAAATGGCGGGACCGAGCAGGGGAACACGAGGCCGCCTGGTTTTTGCGTAGAGCCGGGTCGCTCGCCACCTGTGGTAGTAGAACTGGGCCACCCGGTAGCGGGTGGGATGCTGCCGGTATCGATGGAGACTCCTTTCCTGCGGAGTGTCCCCAGGGTGCTCTTAGCTGTCGTGTACCTCTTCTTCCGAAATAACGGACGGGACTTGCTGCAGCGAACCGGCACTCGCACAGATGGCTCTGCCACTGCTTGGGAAGGACAGTTTTCTGGAGAGCTGCCGGGGCTCCACCGGCGGCCCAGCACCCAGGGCTTCTCTTCCTTCATTGTTAGATCTGAGAGTCGTGCTTGAAGCAACTGTAATGTAAAAGGACAGCTAGGTTTAGCCTGCTTTTTAAAGATTCCAACTTTTTAAGTGGTGTTTTGGTTTATTTTAACACAAGCCATCATTATTTATTTATTTATTTATTTATTTTTTAAGTGTTTAGATCATGTTTGTCTATAGAAAATGCCCGCTGGGATGATTTTTAAGCAGCCCCATTCCACCCAGCTTGCCTGCCTGTGAAACAGGCTGCGTTTGAGAGAAACTGCGTGTTTTTGGACTCGTAGTGAAAATTTCTCAGCTTGCAGGTGGGTTCTTCCCTGTCTGCTTTCTCAGCGAGAACTGCAGGGTGGTGCATTCCTATTCACTTGGTTTCTGGTTTTGTTAGTCCTCAGGCTCCAGGGATGAGGCTGTAAGGGACAAACGTGCCCGGATCCTGTCACGCGGGCTGCCGAAACAGAAGCCCATAGAAGGAGTTAAGCAGGTGGTGGTCTTGGCTTCTGGAAAAGGAGGAGTTGGAAAATCAACAACAGCAGGTAAGATTTGTTTGTTTACTTTGAACATTCTGTAGTACTTTGTAAGGAGTATTTGGGCACTTGTCAATTCCTTTGGAATTGAGTCTCAACAGAGCCCTTCACCTGTGTTAAGTCCCATTGCAGCCATTGAGAATCTGTCTGGGTACAAAGGTATTGGCTTTAAATGAGATGCAAATTGAGCAGACAGCTTTGAAGCAGTATCTTCATAATAGTTCAGTGCTGTCCCAGGACAGCTAGCTTTCTTAAGAGGTGATGTAAGCTCAGGTGGAGGGGATCATATGCCGATGCAGTGATACTCTTCCTTCTTCCCTAGCAATGTAGGTGTGCCTGTAGAGTGCTCCTCTGTGCTATGTCAGCAGAGTCATGTGCTCTGTAGGGGATACTGATATTTAGAAGGTTTGAAAATCGGGTCTCTGTCCAATCTTCTCAACTACTTCTGTACACATTTCATAAACAAAAGGTGAAGTAGTGGTTATAAGTCACACAAACTGATCAGAGCTTTGTGAAGCACCTCTCTCAGCCCCACCATTAGGTGCTGAATCAATTTTTCTCTAACTGTGCAGTTCGTAGGTGGTAGAGCAAGATAGTACACAGGTTACCGGTACTTCAGAAATTTGCTTGAATTTAAAGATGACATTGAAGGTAAACCTGTTTGAAAAGATCTCTGTAAAGTGTTAGAAATTTGTGTAAAAAGCTCTTCCTTAGCATCTAGATTGGGAAAGAGTCATTCTTTAGTTGAATATTATCTACTATTCATCTCTATTTGCTGTGATTAACACATTGATATAGCTATTAATTTTTCATTTTTTGGTTTGTACTTCAGCCATGCTTGAAAAGGGCTTTCTAAAAAAGAAAAAAATACTAGAACAGCAAACATTTCCATAGTAAGAGTAACTGTACAAACAATGCAGAAATTATTTCTTTCTGTACATAGGATAGACATAAATACTATCCTATTCATAGGATACATGTACCTGAACAAAACTATGCAAAACAGTCAAGACTTGCATTTCTTAATAATTCACCTTTTTGTTGATGGTTATAATTAATACGCTGGTTGTTTCAGGGTCCTGAAAATAACCAAATATCTGTTTGTAAACCAACAATTTACAAAATGAATGTAATTTGAACAGTAAATTCAGATTATCCTCCTTGTGTCTGGAAACAGATGTGCTAATTTAAGTTCTGCTAACTAGTGTCTGCGTGTAATTTGTGTGTATCTGTAATTTGTACATAAAGTATGATGTGTATCATTAATAATCCTTTGAGCTGGGAGTTCATAATGCTTGTAAAAATAAAAAATTGGGGTTCAACAAGCATTAAATAAGAGTGTTGAAATGTAAATGAAACATTCAAATGTTGCTGTTTTGGACAGCCTTTTGTTACTGAGTGTATTCATTTGTAATATTGAGAACAAGTTTAGATTCCTGTTTATTAAAATGAGAATATATTACATGGTTCAGATGAGCAACTGAAGATCAAATCGCACATTAGCAAAAAGCATCGCATGGCATCATTGCTGGATGATGTACTTAGAATGATGTTCTTCGTAATGGAGGATTGTGGGAAACATGTTTGGTGACAACTCTGCTGACTCGTTTTGAGAGCAGGACTTGAAAGGAGGGACAGGTGCACCTCTAGTTCCTAAATCATCACAAAAAATATAATCAGTCTTATTTTCTGCATCTCTCGGAAGGACTGCCAAGGCTCTTCATATTCTTTCCTTCAGTGCATTTATGTTTATGTTTCAGTTGCTCTGGGTCTCCGTTTCAGGATAGGTGGGTATGCATTCTGGTCAGGTTTGTCAGGGCCATTCATTAACCTGATGAGTGACTGTTGCGTTTAGCTTTCATATTGTGTTCTCTGTTGCTTCTAACATTTTTTTGTCTTCTGAAATCAATGTAGTCAATTATTAAAAGAATATTTAATGCATGTTTAAATACTTTGGTTGGCTTTTTTGTTGTTTTTTGTTTGCCTAGTATGTTAGTATGTTTGCTACCTGTGTCTTTCCTGTGAAGTTTCTGTTGTATTTACTCCATCTGGCCAAATGTGGGTTGTTTTTTTTGTTTGTTTGTTTTGTTTTTGTTTGCTTACTGTTTATGTTCCCCCAGCAATATTAACTGTGTTTTATTTATTTATTTATTCTCTTTCCTGTTTTTATTCTGCATGCAGGATGTGCTCTTATTGAAACTCACTTTTTCAAGGTAGAGGCTCAAATCCACCTGTTTGCCTGACCAACCCAGACACAAGTCCAGGGTTTGGCATAGGTGCTGATACTGTTAGTTCATGATTCTTTTCCAGACTGATACCATGTTTCTTTGATTCTGTGCTTTCCTTACTTGTTAAAAAAAAATGATAAAGAGTCATAAACTCTATTTCTAAAATCCATTTACAGTAAGATGTAAGTGTTGAAAGTTATCTTTCAGAGAGTTCATCTTAGTTATAGGTGTCTTACTGATGATGCACATTAACCGTGTCACAGATGTAGACACATATTCAGCAGCCTCTGTACATGTCTGATTTGGGGCCAAGAAGTTTTATTTGTACTGTTAGTTCAGTGTTCTGAGAATTCAGTTGTGCTGTTCCTAAGCCACTTTGGACTTGGAAGTTACAAGGCCCAAACTGAAAAAAAAACCTTCTCAGACTTGTACTAATTTCAAGAGATCTCCTTGCACATAATTTTTGATACTGGTTGACTGGTTTAGCATGGCTGGAGATACCCTCCCGACTTTTATTGGAGATTGCTGTGAAGTTTTAAAAAATAATTAAAAAAAAAAAAGTTGTATTGAACTTCCAGAATGTATCTGCTCTGCTTTTCTGGACTCCTGTTTATGGGAACTTACTTGTTAGGGCCAGCATAGGATCATAGAATAGTTAGGGTTGGAAAGGACCTTAAGATGATCTAGTTCCAGCTCCCCTGCCATGCGCAGGGACACCTCACACTAAACCGTGTCACCCAAGGCTGTGTCCAGCCTGGCCTTGAACACTGCCAGGGATGGAGCATTCACAGCTTCCCTGGGCAACCCATTCCAGTGCCTCACCACCCTTAAAGAACTTCTTCCTTATATCCAGTCTAAACTTCCCCTGTTTAAGTTTTAACCCGTTACCCCTTGTCCTGTCACTACAGTCTCTAATGAAGAGTCCCTCTCCAGCATCCCTATAGGCCCCCTTCAGATACTGGAAGGCTGCTATGAGGTCTCCACGCAGCCTTCTCTTCTCCAGGCTGAACAGCCACAACTTTCTCAGCGTATCTTCATATGGGAGGTGCTCCAGGCCCCTCATCATCCTCATGGCCCTTCTCTGGACTTGTTCCAACAGTTCCATGTCCTTTTTATGTTGAGAACACCAGAACTGTACACAATACTCCAGGTGAGGTCTCACAAGAGCAGAGTAAAGGGGCAGTATCACCTCCTTTGACCTGCTGGTCACACTCCTTTTGATGCAGCCCAGGATACAGTTGGCTTTCTGGGCTGCGAGTGCACACTGAAGCTGGCTCATGTTAAGTTTCTCGTTGACCAACACCCCCAAGTTGTTCTCTGCAGGGCTGCTCTGAATCTATTCTCTGCCCAACCTGTAGCTGTGCCTGGGATTGCTC